TATATCTTTTTGACTGTTAATATGTAGTGACCTCCCTTATCCCTTCTGATTAATTTTGGCTTGGAGAGTGCTTTGTCAGACATGAGTATCAGTACTCCTCCTTACTTTTGGTATCATTTGCTTAGAACCTCATTTTCTATCCCTCACTCTCACTCTGTGTCTTTGCCATGAGGTGAGTTTCTTACAGACAGAAAATAGTTGGATCTTTTTTTTTTTTTGCATATACTATTTGTAAAGGAGGGATACATTGTGACATTTACATATGTGCTTACAATATCTCTTAATTACATTCATCCCCTCCATTATTTCCCCTCATTCCTCCTCCCTCCACTTTTTAGGACAATTTCAAAAAGATTTGCTGTACTGGATCATACACGAATATAAAATACATCCACCATATCTGCCCTCCTTGACCCTCTCTGTTTACATTCCCCTTCATACTGTTACCTACCCCCTGGACAGGGCCTGTTTTATCTTCCCGTCCTTCATTTTTCTAAGTGTGTATGTATTGGTTGGTCAAGGGAGTTTCACTTTGGTATTTCAGACATGTGTATGTCATGCTTTAATCAGTTTAGCACACTCTATTACTTTCTCTTTCTCTATTGCCCTGCTCCCCAATTATTCAGCAGCTTACAGTGCATTGCATTGTATTATCTTCTTACACAGATGCATTGCATTTCAATACCTAACATTCTCTAACACTTTCAGTCTCTTTCCCTCTCCTGCCTCCCCGAACCTGTGATCTCCTCAGTTGGATCCATTCGTACTATCATATTATATCTCTCTTACTCTTTAATCTATTTATACACATACACACATGGATGTGAGATCCTATATGTGTTTATATGTACATTTATTTTATAGGTCTAGCTTCAACAGATGAAGGAAAACATGAGACCTTTCTCCTTAGTCTGCTCACTTCACTTAATATGATGACCCATACATTTACCTGCAAACAACTTCATTCTTCTTTGTGGCTGGATAATGTTCCATTGTGTACATATACATCACATTTTCTTAATCCATTCATCAGTTGTAGGGCAACAAGGCTATCTCCAAAGCTTAGCAGTTCTAAATAGTTCTACAATAAACATGGGTGTGCAAGAGGCTCAATTGTATCTTGTTGTATCCTTTTGTGTTTGTAACATTCCTGAGGGCATATGCCCAGGGTGATATTGCTGAAGTGAATGGCAGGTCTATTTTTAGTTTTTTGAGGAATTTCCATACTGATTCCCATAACAGTTGCACTAATTTGCATTCTCACTAACAGTGTGTAAGGGTTCTTTTTCCTCTGCATCCTCACCAGCATTTTTTGTTGTTTATGTTAGTGATGAAAGAAATTCTGACTGGAGTGGGGTAAAATCTCACTGTCATTTTTATTTGCATTTCCTTTATGGTCAAGGATGTTGAGTGTTTCTTCATGTATTTATTGGCCATTCATATTTCTTCTTTTGAGAACTGTCTATTCAGCTCATTTGCCCATTTTTTCAATGGGTTGCTGATCTGATTCTTCATGGAGTTAGTTTTTTTAATTCTCTGTATATTCAGTTTATTAACCCTTGTCAGATGTATAGCTGGCAGAGATTTTCTCCTATTCTGTAAGCTGTCTCTTCAGTCTAGCAACTGCTTCCTTTGCTGTGCAGAGCCTTTTAGTTTGATTCAGATCCGTTTGTCAATCCTTTCTCTTAAATTGCCAAGCTTTTAAAGTTCTATTCAGGAAGTTATTGCCTATACCTATTTGTTCCAGTGTATTCCCTACTCTTTCCTGTAGTATTTTAAGAGTTTCAGATATTACATTAAGATCTTTGATTCATTTTGGATTCATTTTGGATTGATATTAGTACCAGATGAGAGACTGGGATCTAGTTTCAGTCTTCTACAACTGGCTATCCAGTTTTCCCAGCACCATTTGTTGAAGAGGCTGTCATTTCTCTGATGCATATTTTGGGCTCTTTTGTTGAAAATCAAGTGACTGTGACTATGTGGGTTTTTGTCTGGGTCTTCTATTTTGTTCTGTTGGTCTTCATGTCTGTTTTTGTGTCTGTACTATGTTGTTTTTATTATATGGCTCTGTAATATAATTTAAAATCAGGTACTGTGATAACTACTGTTGTCTTTTTGCTCAGGATTTGACTATTTGAGGTCTTTTGTGCTTCCATATGAACTTTAGGATTGATTTTTCTATCTTTGTGGAGAATGTCATTGGGATAGACTGCTTTTGGTAGCATAGTCATTTTCACAATATTGATTCTGCTGCTCCATGAACATGGGATGTCCTCCCATCTTTCAATATCTGTCTCTGGTGGTAGACTCCCAAGCGGACACTGTGACTGGGAGTCCCAGAACTGTCTGGACTGAGAATTTTCAACCCCCTAGATTGCTCAGTTTCCAAACGCGCCTGCCTACAAGGAGCTTCAGACCTTCCTGGTGGTGAAGGTAAGGTGCTTTGTTTGGAAATTTTCCACAGGCAGTTAGTTAGGGCCACCAATACTGTGCTTTTCCCTCCCTGAGCTTCCTTTAAATTCTCAGCTTGCTCCAAGTCGAAGCCTCTCCCTTTCCACGAGCTTCCTGTGGCCACCTCCTCTCATACACTGTGGGCCAGGTGTCTCAGGATGCCAGGAGCATCAATTATTCCTTATTTTCAAGATACCCCCTACTGGGTATCTCAGTCTTAATCAGGAGGTCTTCTCTCAAGATGGCACCTTGTCACAGCTCTCTGAGGTATGGGGAATGAAGGGTTGTATTGTCTTATGTTGGCCTGATGTTCTGGGGAGTTCACTGTCTTTCAAATTCCTACACTGGGGTTAGGGTTTGCGGGCTGGGTAGTTTTTGTCCCACAGCTAGGTCTGCCAGTCTGCACAAAGGACACCTGGCTCACCTTGAGGTAGCGACTTCAGCTTCCCCTCCCCCAACAAGTGGGGGAGCTGGGGCTGGAGCTGCAAACTGTTTCTTGATTTACTCTGTTGTCTTTATGTTTTGCCATACTTTTCCACTGTCTTGTCACTCTTTTGTGGTTCTCAGTGCTCTTCTTCTCTTTGCTCTTCTGTATGCTGTCTATTCTTTACGAATTTATCCAAACTCTTATTCACAGGGTCCAATGGAGAAAGCTTTTACTCCTTCACCATGTTGACCCTCCAATTCTGTATACTCAAAGACAGCTTTAGGTCAAAGCAAATGCTACACTTCTTTGAAAATAAGGTCTGCATTACTCCTTCTGGTACTAGAAGTCTACGTCAAGAGTGTGGGCTGCTGTCACTAAAGACATCACTGATGTGAGGACTGGGGAGTCATATGTAGCAGTTTAAAATACCATCACATTTTCTTACCACAATGAAACCTCTTCTTTTTTCTGTGATTCTGACCATTTTTGTGACTTTCTTAGTTATTTCTGAGAATCTACCAGTGGCTCTGCCAAATTTCTGAATAGCAGTTTACATAATTGCCAAATGCTTTGAGAGTAAAAGCAGCTCAGTGGGGCATGGTGATTACACCTATAATCCTAGTTACTCAGAAGAAGATCACAAGAGGATCATTGTTCATGCCAGTCTAAGCTAAAAGTTCACAAGACCTCCATCTCAACCAATAGCTGGGCATGGTGGTATGTGCCTGCAATCCCAGCTATGTAGGAAGCATAAATAAGAGGATTATGGTCCAGGCAGGCCCAGGCATAACAACAAAACTCTATCCAAAAAATAACTAAAGCAAAAGGATCTGGAGGTGTGGCTCAAGTGGTAGAGCACCTGCCTACAAGAGCAAGGCCCTGATTTCAAACTCAGTACCCCGCCGAAAAAAAAGAATAAAAGCAATGCAGAAAGATCCCCCCTGCCTTTTTTTTTTTAAGACCTATGGCTCTGTTTTGTGTGTCGTCGTGGTCTGAACACTGCAAAAGCCTCTAGAGCAACTTACTTTTGTAGTTTTTAATCAACCTCTTTTTTTTCTAATCTCTGTTTTGCCTTCATGTCTTACAAGGTTATTCATGACATTAAAAACATTATTTCTTTTAATCTCGCACTTCTGAGTGTTTTGTGTTAGAACAGAGTTTGTTAGAGGGCCTTGAGATTTTTCTTTTTTTATATCTAGTTTTCCACAGTTTGAATTTCATTCTTTCATCAATTCAATTGCATTTATTTAGACCCAGTATATAGTTCTGTTGTTTTCAATAGGAAAACATTTCCTTTTTTGTGTAATGTCTATCACTGAAATCACACAAAAATTTCCTTTGTGTGTTCCTTCTATTTAATAGAATATAACTATATGACCAGGCCATGTTCTCATTTCTGGCAGTGAGATGAATAATAATATTATCCCTGCCTGAATGACTTCACAGTGTAGGTTTTTCTTCTACAACATTAACCACAAGGGCTCTTATAATAGTAAGAGCCATGGAATCTCTTATTCTTCAAAAATGATGTTTTAATATATTTCTTAAAATAATTGTTGTAAATGGCAATAGGGAACCAGACACCCACTCTGAATTGTGTATGGTATGCTAGAATAACATTTCAGTTGAAAGCAGTAGCGGAAAGAAAATGGTTTTACTTAAAGTAAGAAGGTAGAGGGAATTCATAAAGATGAGGTCAAGAATCTTTAAGTTTTCTGATTGCAAAGCAAAACTTCCAGGAGTCCAGTGGAAGGGTTTCAGATGGGACAGCTGCAATATCAAGGACACAGAATGTCATATGGAGTGTGAATCAGCTGATTGGAGGAGGAATGGTTCTTAGTGTTAACTAACGTAATGAGAAGCACAATGAACTCAGTCTCAGCAATCTCTTTGAGGCAAATGGGTTCCATGCCTAACCACCAACATACTTAGCTAACACTGTCTGGACTAATTCAGTGTCAGGGTTATGTATCACCCTTGGGTCTTTTCTCTGCACTTGTGGGGACAGTGACCTTGGTGCATGCACTTAATGTCTGATGAATGTTCTTGCTATTTTGTGTCTTCTTTTTCTCTGCACTGTTCCTTATAAAATGTTCCTAACCTTTCTGATTTTTCTTAGATTTTACAGTGGAAATTATCAGAGAACCAAAGATAGTTACACCCCCATATAGGAAAATGTCTTTCGTCAAAAAAGTTGGTGTAAGGAAGCCCTCAGCGAGACCCAGGTAAGAGGTAGGACCTGGCTATAGCAACATCTCCTGGCACAACCTATCCTTCAGATATTTTTCCACGTACCACAAGTATATGAACAAGAACACTTTGCATTGTAAATTGTTGCAATTTTATTTCCTAAAATTGACAACATGCAATATCTTATACAATAACTTTTCAAACTTGAACTACTGAGGACATTAATTTATGCCAGTGTGTAGACAGTATAAATAGATATCTAGTTCCTTCCATAGTTATGGACATAGCATGATTTATTTAGCCACACCCTTTTCACAGATATTTACATTGTTCTTGATTTTTCATTGCTACAAATAATGCCATAATAGACATCTTTGTGCATGATCCTTTCCCATTTGTTTTTATGGACTGCTGCAGTAGAATCTTAACTGGTCCTTTCTTCATGTCTCTCACCTTTCTAATCAACTGAGAGTCAGCCTCTGCTAGGAAATGACTCTGTGGCCTTTTCTTTCAGAAAAATGCACCTAACTTTCTTTCAACTTCCCTTAGCACAAAGTCACCTATACTTAAAAAGCTCCTCAAATCCCATGTTGGGGAGGGGGGTGGTTCAAACAATGTATACACATGTGAGTTAATGTAAAAACAATTTTTAAAAAGAGTATTGAACCACTTGAAATGAAAAAAAAAATCCTATGTCTGCTATGACTTCCTTTCCTCTGGTATTTTAAATCCCAAAAGCACAACTTCAAACATTTAACATGTACTACATTTTAGAGTTCTTTATTTTTTAGATATATTTTCTTCTTTCTTGACTATAATTTTCTCTTAAGTCATGCCACTCATTCACCCATTCATTTTTAACTCAATTATGACTTAGTCTATTAATGACTAACCATGAAAGGGCCTCTTCTAGATAATAAGGGTATAATAGTACATAAAAATTCAGTAGTTAATATTTCTGATGGAATATTTTCCACAGAGAAAGCTCCCACAGGAATGCTTTCAGTTACCTACATTATTCATTGAGGGTGATAAGTCTCTTCTGAGCAATCTAGACAAATCTTCCTCCCCTTCAAATAATTGAAATTATTTCCTGAAGTTCAATCACCTACTCATTCTGTCATCTCATTCTGTACTACTCACTGTCTCCACTATGTTTATAGTATAGAAATACCTTTTTTCCAACTTAGTTGAGCATGAATATAACAGAAGCCTTTTCTAAATTGCATATTCATAAATCGTTAAGTTCTATAAGGAATATGCAGAGCTATACAGTCCACACTCACATTTTCAGCTAAGATTACCACAGAATGGCTTAGGAATCCCACACTCCTAAACCTTACCCCTCATCCTCATTCAAAGTAATAAAGTTACCAATTATACACTATGTCCCAGACATTCTGTGAGTGCTAATGGTACAAAAATAGACACAGTCCTTGCCCTTAATCTAATATATAACTAAATAAAATACATGGCTGACCCTAAAATGTCATGATAAAATACCATTTCATTGCTATAGGAGTGTAACAGAAAGAGAAAGAAATCGTGAGTAAGGATTAGGAAAAGTTAGAATATCAAAAGAGGCCCTGAGCTGTATGTAGGAGTTCAGTTGCAAAGAAATTGGAGCATGTGGTAAGGTTATGTCCTACTCACCAGTTGAAGAGATGACACAAAGATATAAATTCATTTATATAAAGGCGGTGTTCAAATTCATGAAAATATTCTAGTGGTGTTAAAGCATAAAATACATGAGGTATAAAGACATAAAACAAAAATTAGAAAGCCATATTGAGACCAAATAACTGAATTACTAAGGAATTTGTATTGATTAAATGACAATGGAAATTCACTGGTGTTTGCTGGAATTTGTCCATAGCAGAAACACCTATTATATAGATTTTTAAATACTACTCTGGAAGAACTATCTTTAATAGTATAGGGAGTCAGAGACCCAGAGAGTAAAGGCAAAAATAATAGTTGGAAGTTTGTTGAGTTGTTTAAGCAAGGGATGCTACAGGCCTGAAGTGAATGGCAGGAGTATGAATGGAAGGGAAGTCAGAGATGTGTCAAACACTGAAGAAGAAGAATCAAAGTACCGGAATAGTAGGGCAAGGCTGTGCAAATGACTTCCCATAAAAAATTAATTGAACTGAGCAAGTACGTTGAACATTTTCAGAATTCTATAAATTAACCAGAGGCATATAACAAAGTAGAAAGCATTTTTTTCGGAAAACTACCAAACCTCACTGAGCACAGTGAGGTCTATAGCATTGTACCTGGGAGTTCCTCACCCCACCTACAAGCATGATCTGCAGTGTTTTAAGGCAGTGGTATTAGGTGGTCAAGAAACAAAGTAGCCAAAAGTATAAAGGGTAGATCTGTGGATCAAGACCTCCTCATGGAGTTTCAAGATACTCGGAGAGACCAAAGAGGGCTCCAGTTATCTGCTTGTCTTGGTTGATCATGATGACCTGAAAACTTAAGATTAAAAATAAAAAGAATTTTAAAAAGAAAAAACAGAACAGCTACCTTAGTGGAAGGGTATGGCAGTGGAGATATACTCTGCAGAATTAGTCCAAATAAATCATTTAGGGAAAAACAAAATAGAAAAAGCAAACAGAACCATCTCCAGCAACAACTTTTAATAAGTGAGAGGTGGGTGGTATGGGATCAAACTCCAAAGTTGTTATGATATTCACATGGTAGAGGAAATCAATAAAAACTGTTTCTGAGGTGATCCAGGTGTTGAGCTCATCAAAGTAACATCTAACATGTTCAACAAACTAAAGGAAACCATGTTTAAAGAATTAAAGGAGCCAGACATAGCAGTGCATGCCTGCAATCCCAGCACCTGGGAGGCTGAGGCAAGAGAATTGAGAATTCCAGGTCAACCTGGACTATAAGAGACAGAGAAAGGAAGGAGGGAGGGAAGGAAGAAGAAATAAAAGAAGGAACAGAGGAAAGAAGGAAAAAAGAAAGAAAGAAAAGAGTTAATACCAATAATGAGACAGAAATTATAAAATAGAATCAAATGTAAATCTGGAGTAGAAAAACACAATAACTGAAATGAAAAACTTTCTAGATGGGATCGATAGCAGATTTCAGTTCACAGAAAAACCAGTGAACTCAAAGATGACTCAATAGACATTATCTAGTCTGGGGAAACATAAAAATGAAGAGTAAAGAAACATAAACAGAACCTCTGAGACTGCAGAATACCATTAAGCACAGCAACATTTAAGTCATTCTAGTTTTAGGAGGAGAGGAGAGGGAAAGGGGGGTCAAGAAAATATGTGACTATATAATGGTTTAGTAGTTTCCAATTTGTTTGGTGATACTGGGGTTTCTGAACTCACATGATTATCTCAAATGACACAGAAAAAGCCTGTACCCATTCATGATTTTTTTTAAACTCCTAATAAAATTAGACTAGAAAAGAGCTATCTCATCCATAAAGGGCATCTATCAAAAACCTACTGCTAAAGTACATAATAAAACAGGCACATAAAGGAGGAAGAATAAATTGGCCCAACATGTGAGTATGTATAGATGGTTTTACATAATAGCCACGACATAAAGATGAGGTTTAATGGGCAGTTGAAATTTAGAAGTGGGTTTCGTGGGAACTAGAGATAAAAGTTTCACAGTATTAGTGAAAATTAACACCATTCTTCCTATCAATGAAAATTGAAACCACAGAGAAAGCACAGATTACCCAGAGAAACTACAGGCAAAAAGAAAGAGGATTGTAGATGAAACATTCAAGTTACCTCTATTCAAGGAGCAGTGGAAGAAGGAATCAAGTGGATTTAGAAATACAGATCAATATCTACTGTTCAGTCATGCACTGCTTGACAGAATTGACTGTGCCAATTGGGACCTGCTTTGAATCCATAATGTAAAAAGAGAATTCCCTTGAAAAAACTAGCCCCCTTAAAATCTCCCACCTCTTCTTCCATTGGGACTGTCAAATGATTGGGCCAAGTTTAGGAAGGAAAGAGAAAAGCTCAAGTTCATCTCCAAGGCAACAGGCAGACTTAACTCATCCACCATGCTCTTCACACATAGGTAAAGGCTCTTCAGTCTGAGATGCCTTTCTCCATTCTCTAAAATCCAGGGTGGTCCTCCCTTTCCCTTCAGTAATGATGCTGTCTTTTGTTCTAGAAACATGGCAGAAATCCTCCTAAATCCACACCACTTGGAATTCTTCAGGGAGTTCCTCAAGGAACGGAATGCTGATAGCCCATTGGTATTTCTGGTAGCTGTACAGAAGTTGAGTTTGGAGACCAATGAAAAGATTTATGAAGCTGCATTGGAACATGTAATCAAGACTTTCTTTCATGGCAAACTCCCTCCTGGTATGCATCCTTTTCTCTTGATCCCATTTTCTTCTCCTTTTAGTTTCTAGTTATATTATCTGGGAGCTGGCAGAGTGGCTCAGTGGTATAGTGCCTGTCTAGCAAGTGTGAGGGTCTGAGTTCAAACCCCAGTCCTGCAGAAAAAAAAAAAAGAATATAAATTATTATCTGGGAAATAGGCTGTCTCAAATGAGTTCCCAGAGAGAGCAGGACACAGCAGTGGCCACACGGAGGCAGTACTGAGACAAGACTAAGGGAGTGAAACCAGAAAACAAAAATACATCCAAAGTGAAAATACTGATAAAAGAAACCAAGTTCAAGATACATTCACACATATCCTCTCATTTCATGTCATTTAATCCTGGATTTTATTTAATCCTTGTAAGGGAGGAAAACTAGCTACATTTTCTAAATGAAGAAAGTGGAACACATTAACATCATCTAGCTTTTCTAATTAGTGGAACATGAATTCAAACTCATGTCATTTGATTATCAAATCAATCAGGCTGGAATTAGAAACAGCAAGGGCCAGCTGTATGGAAGGACTGCAGTGTTCACCAAATCGTAAAGAGTTGTACTGAGAAAGAAGACTGTGTGCCTGAAGTTTTTTCATAAATTTTGTCTTGTTTTCTTGTGGGAAGCTAAACCTAGCCCATGTAAACTGGTCTTGGCCAAGAGCAGAGGTTGCAAGTCAAATACTGACTTGTAATTTCAGAGAAACCCACAAGGCGGGGCGCACAATTCCATGCTGGAGGTAAACTGATCTATAACAAAGCAATGAAGGTAAAGCTTCCTGGAGGTTTTCTGTGGTTTTTTGCTTGGGTAACTATTGGCATGAAGACAAAAATAGAGTAAGACATAAAATTAGTAAGGCTTTTGTTTTGTTCTGTTCTGTTTTTAGAGACAGGGTCTTGCTACGTAGTCCAGGCTGGTCTTGACTTCACAATCCTTCTGCCTCCTCCTTTCAAGTGCTGAGATTACTATCATGCATACCACACCCAGCTAAGCAAGGCTTTATTTGTAAGAAATATTTATTTGTTGAGTCTCAAGGTGTCAAGTTCTGTGCATCATTTTGAATGCACTAGAAGAGGAAGAGGCATGCCCAGATTCTGTCCTTGACTCGTTTTCAAGTCCCTCGAAAGACATGACAGTCTCTGACCACCTAGATCCCTGTATTGCCCTTAGTGTACATATTTGTAAACTTGGTCCCCTCCCACTCCAGAAATTTAACTTTAATCCTTCAATTTATGTGCTCTCCCTAAACCAAAAACACCACACCAGCTGCAGAAATGAGTCCTTTAAAACTTTCTTTTCCCTCATCTTTGAAATTTGACTTGAACCAAGGACAATATTTCATCTACAAATTCACTTGCACTTAGCATTCCAAATATATTTTCAAGCAAATTGCTAAAGGCTCAGAGGCAAGCCAGAGTGAAAATAGGGGGCTGCGAGACTCCACAATGAAAATAAACACCAGCTATCATTTAGTAGACAAAGACAACCCTTTTTTCTCTTTCTTGCACTTTTTAGAAGCAATGCTGCAGTGCAATGCCCCTATCGTGAAAGAAGTCATGTTCACACGTCGTGTGAGCACAACCACACTGTTAATGCTCCAGGGCTATGTCATGAAATCTCTGGAAGAAAGGTGGTAAGTATGTCCAGCAAGGCAATGATTCTTCCTGGAGTTTCCTGTTGGCTTTTGAAAGCCAGTTAATCAAAGGTCTCGTAACCTACTCTCATAGCTCATTGCCAGAACCCCCTACAAGAGACAAAAAAACAAAAAACAAGAAAAACTTACCTTGAATTCTCCTGCCTACCTACACACACACACACACACACACACACACACTCTGTCTTTCTGTCCCCTTATGGAGGAACAGTACAGTGTTGACCAAGAAACAATGACTGACATTAGAAAGGGTAGTTTGAGTATTTCAACATTGCCCAATTCTCACAGCATATCTCTCCCAAAGCTGAAGTAAGTTTGACAGGACTATTACATGTTATGGGTCAGGTTTTTGCCTTCTTTAAAACCTTTGGTTTTCCTTCTGACAGGTTGAAAGAATACCAACAGCTGTTCCCTGCTGTGGAGGTGGAACTTGAAATACAGAGTTCCCCAAGGAAGCCCTCCAGGTCTAAAATTTCCCTGCAGGAAAACCAGGTCAGTGAGGAAGAAGGAGAAACCAAAACATTGGAGACAAGAAAGCCACTGCCCAGGCATTGCCTACTATCCAAAAGAGTGTCACTGTTAACCTATTTAATCAGCAAACAATTACTCTTTGGGGGTAGGTTTTTAAAGTCCCATTTTTCAAGAAAGAATCTGAGGCTCAGAGAAATTGTTACACTGGCAATTTACGCCCCTCTCTTCCACCTGTGATTAGAACCAATGTGTGAGAGGCACTGGAGTTAGACCCTTGAAGATCAGATTTTCACTGCTGTAAGCTAGTTTGGAGGACATGGATTGGTCATGGAGTCAAGTGGTTTTGCTAATTCTCTCTGCACCCAATCATACTGACCTGTGTATTCACTCAACCTAAGCCTGCACATACCAGGGTGAGCTTCTAATGTATGGCCAAGGATGGGACAGAAACAACTGTCCTTCAGATAAGCAAAGCCTCAAGAAGTAATACAGAGGATTGAGAACACAGCATGCCCACTTCCTTCTTCTAAACAGTCTGCTAGCTTATGTTCTTTGTCCCATAAGAGAGGAAAAGGGAAGAAACAGGAGACAGGGATGTTACTCAGGAAAGTCTTTCCATATGGTTTGAAATATATGCTCCTTAAATAATCTCTTGCTCAGAGTGCTTCAGAGTTGGTTACACCAGAAAAATTTGAGTCCTGCTCTAACTCCAAAGATCATGCTAAGATAGCTCTGAAAATAAGGCCTAAACACATTGATCCAATATGTCAGAGATGAAAATGTGCCACACTCTCCTTTCTTTGTATTTCCTCTGTGTGTAAACCAGCTCTTCCAGGGCATGAGTGATCATACAGAATGTTTAAAATAATAATGGAGGGAGCCAGACATGGTGGCTCGTGTCTATAATCCCAGCTACTTGGGAGGTAGAGATCTGGAGGACTGAAGTTTGAGGCCAGGATGGGCAAAAAGTTAGTGAGATCCCATCTCAAGCAACAAGTTGGTTGTGGTGGTACATGCCTGTGATCACAAATGTGCTGGAGGCTTAGATAGGTGAATTGCTGTCCCAGGTTGGCCTAGGCAAAAATGTGAGACCCTATCTGAAAAATAATAATATACACAGAACCAGTGCGCTTTGTTTTAATTTCAGGTAGTTGAGTTCTAAGATAAAAGGAAACGTAATACCGACTTTATCCTGAGCACAGAGTCACTAAATTTCACTACAATGACGAGCGCTATGGTTTCCATCTTATAAATGGAGATACTGAGACACATGTTAAGTGAATCAACCCAAATTACATGATTAGGAAGAAGCTGGTTCCAGACTCCAATTTTCTAATCCCAATTGAGTACATTTTGTGCTTGACCACTAGTAGTCTAAGGCCACGTGCACAGTGACATTCCCTGTCTACAGACCGAAACAACTGAACTTGTTGATCAAGATTCTTTCTGGCTAAATGTCAGTTTCTTTAGGGATTAATGAACTGTAGAATGGTCACTGACTAACTATTAAAACAGAAGAAGAAACACACAATGTATTCACCTGTGCACATGTGCGAGTGCATGTGTGTGCATGTAAGTGGATGCAGTTATATTTTTTAATTCTTAGAAATGTTTTTACTCATTTCCTTATTTCTGTAACATTTCAAAGTCTGTATAAGCCAAATTTCCTTCTTATGAGTTGCATTTTTCTCTGTCCTCTGTTTCTTCCTGCTTTCCTCACACTTCCTTTTCCAATCACAGCATTCCCAATTTTCACTGTTCAGAGACTGTGGTAGAAGAAGGTTGGGCAGTGACCACAGCAGCTATGCCTGGTTGAAGCCAAATTCTTCCGCTCGCTTGCTATTGAATCCAGGGCAGGTTATTCAAGGTCTCTTATCTGAGTTTCCTCACCTCTAAATTGGAGCTAAAACTCCAAGTGGTAGAATGCCTGCCTAGCAAGCACAAAGCAAAAAACTCAGGAGTTCAAACCTCAGGACTGCAGGAAAGAAAAAATAAATATATATATTCTTTTCTGGAAGTGTTGTGAGGATTACTAAACGCAATGAATATCAAGTTCTAGACCTCTAATAGGCTCAGCGTGCTACACCCTTCTTTCTTTCCCCAGAAGAAAGGCTGGCTGAAAATGATCAGTTTTATCAAGAGCTTTTGCAAGTACCGCAGAAGTATGTCAAATCTCAATATGCGCCAGGATTTCATAGACTTTCTTCGCCAGGAAATTCACAATGCCAAAGAAAGTAAGTTTACTCCCCTTCCCTGGTGACATCTCAGCCACCAAAATTAGCCCCAGTAAGAAGCTGTTGAGCTCATAGTTTTGTGTCAGGCCTGTGTCAGCCTGGAGTCCAAAAAGAACCTCAGGTCCAAGGTGCCAAATGACGCCCAGGCCTGCTGGATCTCTACTTAGAGATCCAGCAAGCATGGAGAATTGGTAAACCAAGGCACACGGAGGTCTCACATTTCATAAAACCATTTCCTTATCTGACTTAACTTGGCCTTTAAAAATTCTTTTAAAAATGTCTCTGCCTATAAAACTAACACTTGCTATTAATAAATAGGCAATAAAAGTTATAAGAATATATACTGCAAAAATGAAAATACCTCAAGAAACAACATTGTTAATGCTTTGTAAACCTACCTCTTGCTCACTTATACTTTTTTCTCACAAAATACCATACCCTCTATTTCTAACTTTCCTTTTTCTGTTTAATAATGTATCTTGGACATCATTTTACATCAGTACACATCTGTGTGCTTGTTTACTACTGCCGGAAAGTGTCCATTTTCTGGATTTATTCAACTGCTTCATTCATGAATTCCTTCATTCACAACACTTTTTGAGCATCCTCTATGTGGCACACACTCTGCCAGGTTGGGCGGGGGGTGTACAGTGGAGAACATACAACCTAGGATCTGCCCTTGCAACACCTGGAGTTTTCAAACAGAAAACATAAGCCTCAGGTGTTGGGACTGGATTGGGTGGGTTTATCTCCCACTTTCTAATTGACCGATTTGTCAAAGTGACATTGCACCTCAGTGTCCTTATCTATAGAATGGGAATGTTTATTCCTAGCTCATTGGGTTGTTGTGAGGCTTAAGTGAAGTAACACACACACAAAGCATCTTAGAAACTATGCTTGGCAACAGTACAAGCTATAAAAGAGTTAGCCAAGGTGCTGTTACTATTTCATAATTATGATAAGTCATTCCAATGATGATTGCAGAGAGAACCTAATTGGTGGGGGTAGGAGCAGTCAGGGAAGACCTCTTCCAGAAAATGACATAAAGTTGAGTTTTCAGGAGTGAACAAGTTAAGCAGGTTACTAGGAGGGAAGTGATTTTAGGTATGCATAGAACACTTGCTAAAATGTGTAAGAAAGAAGATGGTGAAACTCAGAAATTCAATCAGGCCAGTTGGCCTGGAGATGAGATGGGGAAAAGTACCAGAGATGAAACTAGACAGACTGGCAATGACAAACCACGTCTCTCTTGATGACTTTTGAGTTGTTCCAACAGTCACTTAAACAAAACTACTAAACATATATTTTTATAGATACATGTATTTCTATGAAAGAAATTCTTAAAATTGAAAGTAATGGATAAATGGTTAAAAATAGTTACATTTCAGCCTAATGCCACTGCAATAATTTATACTCTTGCCAAGAACATAAGCATCATCAGAGCCACACTCTCCATTTGGAAGGTCACATCTGTGCTCACTTTCTACAGACACCTTGGGGATAAACATAACAATACCATGACACAGTTTCTATTAGACACGTGCCGTGAACACATCCTTCAGTGTGCAGTTGATTTTTTTTTTTTGTATGTGTGTTGTCACACCATCTGTGTAGATGACTTTTTCAGTAGTCCCCTGAACCTAACCAAGAGGTTACACCCAATATATAGGGAACCCATCGGGTTGGTCCAGTTTCCTTTCTTCACTGTAGTCAGGCCCAGGTTAAAGGCTTACTCCAAGGGTAACAGCTAAATTAATATGTATGCATGCCAACTGTAAAATGTGATGCTAACTGTTGCTGACTCCTTTGTATATTAAATGTATTTGTGCTTCCAAATGCAATGTTTGGAAAAACATTGTGTAAAACTGGCATCCACAAAATTAAAACTGTTAATGATGGTAGCCACTTTCAGATTTGTGGGCAGGTGCTCCTAACTGTAGGAGCGCCTAGTGGTGCTCATGTAATGCCGTTGAAACTAAACTTTTCATTGCTAAACCTTAAAAATGCTAAAATAAAAAAAGAGTGACTTGATCAACCCAGGTTGTAATTCCTTCCTCTTTCTCTCCTAGATTTTACCACATCACCCACCGCATCAGGACGTCCGACCTCAATGACCTCAAGTGCTCAAAATGCAGACCAGGAAAATGGAGAAACAGCCCTTATGAAACGTCGGATATTTGGCCATAGGATCATCATTGTCAACTTTGCAGTTAATGATTTATATTTCTTTAATGAAATGGAGAAGTAAGTTTCCTATTTCTCCTTCCTCTCCTGGGTTTGTCTGTGACAGTCCCTTTCCATCACTGTCACAAAATACTTGAGATAAACAATTTAAAAGGAAAAAAAATTCATTTTGGCTCATGGCTTCAGTTTCAGTCCATGGTCAGCTCGATCCATTGCTTTTAGGCCTGGGGGAAAGGTGAGATAGAGGCATGATACCCACTCCATGGCAGCCAGGAAGCAGAGAGTGTGAAAGAGGAAGGGACTGTGGACAAGGTATACCCTTCAAAGCACACCTCCTGTGACCTGCTTCCTCCTAGTATCCATCACCTCCTAATAATGCTATTAAATTATGAATCCATCAATGGATTAGGTAAAATTCCTCAAGATCCAATCACATCCCAAAAGCCTCCCCTCTAAACATTGCATTAGGGACCAAGCCTTCACTGCATGAGCCTTTGGTAGTCATTTCAAGTCCTAACCACAATAACATCCTTAAAACCTCATATACTGCTGGGAGTGGTAACACATACCTGTAATGCCAACACTCAGAAGGTGAAGACAAGAGATTCGTGAGTTTAAGGTCAGCCTGGACTATATAACCAATTTGAGGCCAGCTAGGCTACAAAGCAAGACCATGTTACAAAATACCCACCCCCTAAAAAAGTAACCTTACAGCAAAGGTTGGCTTAACCTGTGTAAGACACAGTGACTTCAGCTCTGTCAAGAAGAAATCTCTTGAAAATCACACTGACTGCTGTCACTCCATCAAGAGCCACGATTCTTTATTTTCTGGAGTTCTCAATATTGAAATTCACTTATTTACTCCTAGGAAGTGGAGCATCTTTCTCTCCATTATTTACAAACATGAAAGTCCTTTTATGTAACACAAGCAGACCAATAATTCTTCGGTTAAATACAGGACCTGCCATAATAAAAATCATGGGTGTGACATTCAACAGATATTTTTAAGTTAAAACATGCAAATGTGCATTCATTCTTCTGCCACACTTTTTGTGTAAAGCCAAAGCCAATCCATTAATAGGAGGTCCTCATATTTTTCTTGTGTAAACTCTAAATTCCACCCCAATAATATCAACTAACTCTAATTTTGAATTTTTTAAAGTGAAACAAGGATTTAAAGATTACTGCAAAGCAATTCAATCCTTCTATATTTTATTTTATTTATTTATTTTTGTGGTTTTTGAGGTTGAACCCAGAGCCTCATCCCCTACTAAACAAGAGCTGTACCACTGAGCTACACTTCAGCCCAATTCTTCTGGATTTTTATACTTGTTTTTTCAATGATTTAAATTTCCTTTGCCATACCTAATTCAAGCAGCCTTTAAAAGCTACTTGGCTTTATTGGAGCACTTCACAACATTCAAATTTGTTTTGTTTTATTTGTTGGGCTTTGTTTTTGTTTTTGTATTTTGAGACAGGGTCTCACATGTAGCCCAACTGGCCTTGAGCTCTTATTTCTCCTGCCACGCCTTCCAAGTGCTGGGATTACTGGCATATATCATCACTTCCTGCTTAAATTTATTTTCATAGAAACAACAAATATTTTTCTTTTTATGTTCATATTTCCTCATTTTCATGAGTTACTAGTTAGAGTAACAAGGACAACAAGCAAAAATATTTGGGAAGAAATGAATAACTCCTAGTAAACATCCATCTCAACTAGTTGTAGAAGAAGAAAGTGAACTAATATGGCCCACCAGTCTACTCTAGGAAGGCCAAGGGCACCAGTCAGTGTGACATTCAGAAATGCAGTGTGCCCAGTAACTCATACATCAGTTAGCAATTTAGTTAAGAGATCTTCCACTGTAACCCAAAATAGTACAGTTCAAAAAATGCTTATTCTTATTAACCCCAGGGATTTGGTATTGTAGATTTTTTTTAAAGACATGTTTTCTACTCTCTAAGATCTCACAAATTAATGGGGATGGCAGACAAGACCCAAGTAAAAGTTAGGAAGTATCTTGGGGTGACAGGTAATAGGTAGGGTCAAGTACAGAAAGTATAATTAAACTACTGTGAGTCCTTGGGTATGATATCTTGGAAAACAGGTCACCTAGGCTGATTTTCTAATAGAGTACTGGGGTTTTGAACTTAGGGCCTCATGCTTACTAGGTAAGCACTCTACCACTTGAGCCACCTCCCTAGCCACCTTTTTTTCCTTTAGTTTATTTTTCAGCTAGGGTCTCGCACTTTTGCCTGGAGCTGGCCTTGTACAGTGATCCTCCTACCTCTGCCTTCTGAGCTGCTGGGATTACTCCCAGCCCCATCTTAGGCTGAATTTTGAAGGACAAGTAGAGGTTAGTCAGATAACAAGGTGTGTGAGGGGGAAGTGGTGGGGACAGAGAATACACAGAGCGGACAGCCTCCTCTGCTGCTACTTCAATTCCCACCTCTATCATCTCTACTTGCTTGCTCCCCATCTAAACTATTCTTTATAGCACCGCAACCAGAGTAGCCTATTAAAAGCATAAAACCAGGTTGTGTTACTCTCCTGTGGCTTCCCATCACTACTGGAAGTACAAACCTACCATTGCCCATTGTGCTCTACATGAGCAGGACCTACCTGCACCTCAGGCTGGCCTTGGGCCAGCACAGAAAAGGAAAAAGCAAGATAATTCTTAGCCTTTGAAATCTGCTGCAGGACCAAGAAGGATAAAGAAGGGAAAATGGGATAAAAAGGGGGTTTAGGCAAGGAAATGCACTGGAAGAGGCACTTAGCATATTATCAAATATTAATACTAGGTAATATTTGCCAGTGGGTGAATTAAGATTGAATGAATGATGTTACAACCTGGCTTAGAATTGGCCCTGCTTTTTTTTACAGGCCAGAAATAGGTTTGGCCAGGTGCCCTATTTGGCCACTGCTCTCATCTTTTCCTTGCTGATTTCTTACTCCGCGCCTCTTTTATAGGTTTAACAATTTGGTGAGTTCAGCTCACATGCTGCAGGTCAACAGGGCATACAACGAGAATGATGTGATCCTGATGCGGTCAAAACTTAACATTATCCTAAAGCTCTTCCTGCATTCTGACATTCCTCCGAGGCTGAAGGTAAGGCAAACTCCTACTCTACTTTCCCCAAGAAGCATTTCCCGCATACCAACCCTGGAAGCTAATGGCCAGGCACTGCCTAAATCCCGGGTCGACCAGATGTACTTTACCTAGCAACCCAGAGAAAGGGTGGCCCTGAGAGTCCTGGGGGACCAAGAGAGGTTATTTACCTTTCCTGGAGCCCCTGCCAGTGACAAGCTCCTTCTCTGTGGGTAGGTGAACCTCTCTGAGTCTCAGAAGGATGCCATCCTTGCTGCCATTTCAGAAGGCCACCTGGACCGGAACATCTTCCACGGGGCTATCATGTCTATCTTCCCTGTCATTATGTACTTCTGGAAAAGGTAGCTATCTCCTCTTTTCCTGATGACTGCCAAGCCAGGAAAACAGTTTTCTGCCTTCCTCTAGGCCTCTCTTTCATAATTTCCAGTTTCATGGGGAACTAGGCTGGTTGTTCTAATCCTACTCATTTATACTCTGTCCCTCACAGTAAATACTGATTCAGAGGATGAAAGATAGAGTGAGACTAGAAACCAGAATGCTGGGTTACTACCTCTCCTTTTCCTATGCATGCATGGATCAAGGGTGTAAGGTTTTCTTAGGCTAAGCTTCTTACTTTGGGATTAAGTGGAGCACAGCTCATGAGGGACAAATTCTCTCAGCACAAACACAGTTGCTGTTATGTCCAAATCCCATAATTACCACTGAGGGGGCACAATTGTTTGATATTCCAGTTTTCAAGGCAAGCTAGAAATTCACAATTTTATGTCATCTCTTTCAAGGCTAAAGGGCCAAAAGTAGCAACTAACTCAAAAGGAAAACATGGAAAAGGCCAAAAAATAAAAATGAAACCAACAAATATCTGCAGACCAAATGCAACCAAGGCCATTGATTCCTAACCTGTTTTGCCAAGGTCAGGCAGAACCTTGTTCATGTCTTCCACATGGTGCATAGCCATGACCAGAGGACAACTGGCTGAAAGTTTCTCAGACAAGGCTAATAGGGATGCTTGGATCATTATGTGACTTCATCTCCTAGGGTCCCCATCCTCCCCCAAAAAATTTTTACTTTAATAAGTTAAAGTAAAAATTGTAAAGATTTCTTACCAATCACTAACCTTTATTTTTAAATCCCTGAAATAATAAAAAATATTTAATACAGAATTGAAAGAAATACAAAAGTCTTAGTTCAAGATAAGCAATAAGCTTTTTGAATACCAATTGCTATCTAACATTTAATTCTAGTTCTCCTGACCATTACTAAATGAAAACTCATCCTGAGACTTTTTGAGGAATCAGGAACTTCTGGAAAGTATGTGCTTCTTGTGACTTAATTCAGGGCTCAGCTCCCCCGCCAAATGTCTTTAGGAAGATTAGGGTTGCTTCAGGGAGGTTTTGAACTCTGATCCTCATGTAGTTGGTTCTTTTCTTGCTTTCCTATATCCTTATAATGAGACATATTGTGCAAATTGTGTGGCCGTTTATTACCTCCAGTGAAGCGCTCAATGACCCTATGAGATGGGTGGAGCAAAGTGTTTTACAGATGAGGAAATTGAGAGTAGCTAAAGTATTTTCCTAGAATCACTTGGTAAGTGGTAAAACCAGGAGTAGAAATCAGGTCTCTGTCTTTTACCACAATTTGCAATTCATCTGTGGCATATTGGGAGTTTCAAGAGGAAAGGAGACCCAGTTCAGAAAGTGGAATGGGAGAAACCAACAGTGATAGAATAGTCTAATCCTTGGGGAGAAGAAGAAGGGAGTAGGCAAGACCACCAGAGCCAGGGAGCATAGAAAATAAATCCAGTCTTAGGCAGGACTGACTAAGTGGTCCAATCTCAGTGCTGGCTGAGGGTAGGGAGAACAAGGGGCTAGGGGTGGGTGCAGGGAGGGTGTAATGGCAGTGTTGTAAGGGCTTCTGGGGAGCAGCAGTTTTCAGGTCACAGTGAGGACATGAGTCTGAGGAACTGGAGTCTATTCCAGGGACAGGCCTACTGGAATATGGTGAGTCGGGAAGGGACAGAATGGAAACCAGTCAGTCAGAAACTCTGGACCATGAGGGTTAGATAGGGATCCTATATATAAACCCAGGGGTTAATGGCATCTCACGTCTGGGTATAGCATGTTCTTCACAGGCTCCATTTTCTGGTGGTTCCAAAGAAAATCCTAATATAGCCCTCACTGGAGCCAAATCTAGACAAAGAGGAGGCCTCAGAAGAAGAGCCTCTGACAGCAGCACTCTGAGGCCTGGGTGGTCTCCCCTTTTCTTTTGTGCACCTCACACTCTGTGAGTACTGATCCCCAGGATTCCCCTGTGCTTTTTGTCCCATCCCTTTCAGAGGGGAAATGTTCCCCATGTGACCAGGAGTCATTCTTCCAACAGGTTTTGTACCCGGAAGGTAGCCCAGTCATACTTAGCACACATGGGAAAACAGTTCAAGGATAAAAAAAGTCCTCCTAAGCCTACACACAAGTATCCCCCCTGGAGCGGAGGTAAGTTCCATTGTGACTCAGTCCCATTTTCTAGTTACCGAGGCTTGTGAAGAGAAAACAAGGGTCTGAAGAACCAATTGACAGACCTTCTAGGGCAAAGGGGCGTTTGCTGCAGTATTAGACATCTTCGTAACTTGGCCCACAGAGAAACAAGGGTCCTCAGGGTAAAGTTGCCTAATATGTGGCTAGCAGTGATCACCCATGTACTGCTCCCCAGCAGAACCCCCAGAATGCCTCTGGGCCTGCTTATCCCAGTTCACATGGTGAACTGTCCTGCTATTTAGGAGGCTCCCTATCTCCATTAAATCCTACCATTTGAAAAGCATCCATTTTCTGGAGTTAAGTGAGAAGTAATTAAAAACTAGATATATGATATAATTTTAATGTGGTGTGTACCTCTATACATCTGCAGATCATTTTTGTGACGGCATAGGAAAAACTGAGAAGTAAAACTTAGAAATAAAGATGAAAGCATAAATAAGGTTATCTCTGAGTGAGTGGTATGATTATAAGGATTTATGTCTTTGTTATTAATCTATATTTATATATCATATAATTGTGTAATATTATGTATTTCTTTTAAGATATAAATAAGTAAAAATGTATACACATACATGTTTTCTTGGCATAAAGCCATTAAACCCAATCCCTTTCCCAATACTGAGATATAACTGAAATTAACGAAAGGCAGTGCCTAATGAGGACAAGGCTGAGCGTCTCTCAGTGGAAGGTTCTGGAAATCAAAGAGAACAGGTCTGTGAATCTGAGGACAAGACCAGCACAAAACAAAGGTAGGGCAGGATATTAAAAACAGCAACTACCCACCCCACAAAAGAGCTGAACAGTCACTTGATTAGCTCAAACCTGCTTTATTCTTACGTCCATTTTTCCAGATCCCTGTCTGGCTCCCATGCCAGCATTCACGTGCATGCATTCCACCTCCTTCTGTGAATGAAAACAAGAGCCCTTGAGACACAAACCGAGCCGAAGGGCTGGGGAAGTAACTGTAGCTGGCTATAGAGCCTGACCCCTGCTTCTCTGAGAGGGATCTCACCTCACAGGAAGCAAATCATCTGTCTCCCTGGCTCAAGAGGCTTGATAACCAGTGAGCATTGCTCAGTATCTTTGGCTCTGTCTTACAAAATGTCATATCAGCAGCTAGAAATCAGTGATCTCTTCAGTAGTTGGAACAAATGTCTTTGTGGATAAGAGGGCTTATTTAGGATGGGGACAGGGATGGAGAAGGAAGAAGAGAATATTAAGAAACAAAGAAGAGAAAGGCAGGTAGGCAGGGCATGCAAACAGTGGCAAACAAGCTCCTTAGTGATAGCCAGAGAGCTCCCAGCCTTTGGTTTATTTCCTATAGCCTTCCAGAGACATAATCCCCAAATGTCATCTGGTGTCAAGAGGATGAGGAGGGCAACAGGAGGCCCTGAATTAAGGGGTCAGAGTTCCAGGCCTACTGAGTCTCCTATGAACTGAGGTCTTGAGCACTGCCTCTCACTCTCAAGCTCAGACCCCTGATCGCAGATACAAGGTGTGGATTTAGATAATGTTCTACCATTAACATTCTGTAGTCTGAGAATGTTAGCTACGTGCTGTCTTGCTTACTTGGGAAGATTTATTTTGTCAAGTGTTTTTAGTGTGCTCCCTTCTTCCTTCCCCAGGGGACCATGCTGTCTTAAGGTTCTCCTTGCTCAGAGGTGTCGAGTGGTTGCGGCCTCAACAGCGGGATCCATTGAGTCCGGTCCCAAATTGTGAGCTGGAACCCCACTGCTTGCAAAACTCAATTAGAGGGTAACTCCAAGTCTAGTTTGGCCAGCCCCTTTGTTGATCAGGAGGAAACTGAGAATCCCCAAATGGGAAGTGACTTGGTCAATGAGTGGCAGAGATGGGTGAGAACTGCTTCTTCTACCCTCCCTCCAGGGCTCTGTGCACAGCTGTCATCTGAATAATCATGCTTTCTTAGTTCTTTTATAGCCGCTGGAGGAAAGTGCCATACGCCTCTCTCTGTATCTGCTCACTCCTCTGCCCATGTTGAGTGTGATGTACAGTTTTTAAGAGATGGCTGTAAATAGTTGCTTTTCCCCGACACAGACACTATCTGCCACCTTGAACAGGGCCTCCATCCCATGCCTCCTGCTTCCTGGAGGCTCCTGACCTTCTCACGCCTATAACAAACCCCCAGGTTCTTACATCCTGGATTGAGGGATTGTATTCTCAGTCATAAGGAGTCAACTTCACTCCCAAACAGGAGACCTACATTTGTTTCCAAAGGTCTTTCCCAATAAACCATTCCTTTCTATTCCAATTACTAACTTTTATTTGGGGAAGAAGGTGAGGTGCTGCTTTTCTACTTCTCACGGACAGAAAAACATGAATGAGATACCCATTTGTGTATGTTCCCTCATAACCTAATAGGGGAGGCCACTATAGGACATGACCTGTCACCCACAAGGTCTAAGCAGCCCTAGTCTTGTGCTTCTGGTGTTCATCTGTCCTAACATTTTTTTACTTCCCTGAATCAATGTGATTAGCCTCATAACCTTTATGTCCAGATGAAATATCTCCTGGAACAAAAAAAAAAATCATAGCACACAAATCAGGTCTCCTGGACATTCCTGGAACACTGCTGCTTTACCTTCATTTTCCCATCCCCTTCCCTGGAAAGGGTCCTTGGAACTTCTCCTGGACCCGCCCCCCCATCTTGTTCAGATGCACGTCCTCCAGTGACAGCATCCGTGTTACGAATTCTGATTAAGTTTTTCTTTGTATTTGTCTTTAGCTTCATCTAGCAACCTCACCCAGCCAAGACTTGCACTATCTGCCATGCATCTGCATCCTGTCCAGGGGTAAGCATGAGCTGGAAATCCTCTTCTTCAGTTCAGAGCTGCTATGTCCAAATATACAGTGGGAGATGGGATAAACTTCTCAGAGTCCTTGCTCTGAGTTCTGACTCCCCCTGCATGCTGAACCAAGTCGAGCTGCTGCCTCTAGAGTTGGGACAGTTAGGGAGGAACTTCTTTCTTGATGTCCTTGGTCACCTTCAACTAGGACAGGTACTTTTAGGAAGTTGGAGTGCCTGCCATACCTTCCAGTAGAGCACTATTTCTGGAAGAAGAGTGTTCAGATGATTCTTTTATTGCCAGCTCCCCCATACTGCAGCTATAAGGGTAAGAAGTGTAAAGTAGGAGGAAAGAAGGTGGAGCCATTGTGATTGGCAGGATATTGTCAAAAGAAAGGAAATGACTTGAGCCTGCGAAAATAAGATTCAGCCTAACTCACTTCTGCACAGGCATCAAACTGATGCTGAATTAGGGTTCTGGGAGGATCATGGAAACCATAACTGAGGAGTGCCAAAGGTGAAGGTGAAGGTTATAGATACCAGCCTCTATGAATGGCAAGGCCTGGTTTCCTCACCAGCCATTCCACATCTCAGGTCTCCTTCTAGACCTGTTCTTCCAACAAGGGCTTGGAGCTTCCCAGGTGTCAATTGCCAGTGATGCCTGGGAAACAAACCAGGTAACTTCAGAGCTTTTTGCACTGGAAAGGTAGAGCATGGCTTCAGAGGGTACACACTCTTGGGCAAGAAGGTGAGGATGAGAATGTGAAGGAATCATGGAAGAAAAGGGTTTAGTGTCATTCTAAAGGAAATCACGATAATGAGCAGACAGACAGTGCAACTCCAGTTACCTCATTCCCATTATGATAATTGGCTATTCTTTTCTCTTCTTTTAGACAAAAAATAACCTACACCAAAAGGGAGAAGAAGTAATCAAATTAGACCCCCAACAGAGGCAAATCATCTCTCAGAGGCCTCCTAACACTGAGAACCTTTTCTGGTCAGAATGAAATGCCCTGGCACCATCTTCCCCTGGAAAGATCAAGAAGGGGAATAGGGTACCAGCCCAGATATGGCAGGACAAGACTGCAGTAGGTAAGATGTACATAGACAGCATGAGAGAATGCACCTCTGCTCTTCCTCAACTTGGAGGCTTGTCAGAGATGCTCTTTCATCAGTGGGTTGGGGCAACAGGTCTGGGCTGTAGGTCACACTCTGCAGCTGCACGGCCTTTTGCAAACTTCGGCTCAGGGTCACTGAAGAATCCCATGATAAATGGACACTGCAAAAAAATAATAATTTGTTATATTCCACAATGACAGGAGTCTTTTAGTGCTAGGCTCTCCCATTTGACAATGACTCAAGTCCATTGTCTCAGTAAATCTTAACAACAACACTGTGAGGAACCATGCCAGAAATCATTTTGCTGTAAACAGATGAAGAAACTAAAGCACAGAGCACATAAGTGACTTTCCTAACTACTACCAGGTGGGACTGATAGAGTGGCTCAAGTGGTAGAGCACCTGCCTAAGAAGCATGAGGCCCTGAGTTCGAACCCCAGTGCCACCAAAAAAAAAAACTAGGTGATAAACAACAGCATCTGGACCAGAAAGCACCACTTCACATTCCTTTTCCTGTTCTTGTTCTGTGGTAACCATCTATACAATTTTTCATGCTCAAAAGTAATAGGTCTTTGCTAGAGTTCTGTCCACTTGCCAAATAGTAGATAGAGAAATGTTTTTAAAGTTTTAGACTTAAGGACCTAAAATTATGGTCTTCATTTTAGAATAGCTAAGCTTATTTTCTGTTCATTGAAAAAGAAAGTCAGGAATAAAATGATGGTCAGGATTTCCTGAATAATCCCTCAACTGGAGGCTTTATGTCTCTATGGGTTCCAGAATACAAAATGACCACAAAGCTTACTACAGAGTCCTTTCAAAATTTCCAGACATGTTCTGTTATGCTGATGTCCTCTGTTTCCTAGACTTTTCCAAAGGATGAGAAATGCTGTGATGTCAGAAGAGGGTTCATAAGCCCCAGGACTGACATCATCTGGTGAGGCTATGATTATAGGAGATATGGCTACAGAGGAGGCTTGAGGTCAGCCAGGCACCTGTGGAGTGCCTCAGGGCCCTGGGAGAAGGCCCAGCCACGCGAGCATTCAGTGTAAAGAAGGCTCAGACAAAGAAAATGAGGCTTCCTTCCCCTGACAAGCTTAGGGCTTCACAACAGAACTTTAATTAGTAGAAAGAATAGTGGGAATAAAACAGAATTCCAGTTCCTAAAAATCAAGCAAAAACTAAGACAAGACCCCAGGAAAGGAATGGAGAAGCACCCAGTTACTGGAATGAAGGTACCAGAAAAAGAGCTTGGTCAAAAAGGAACAAGAGCCCTGAGCATGGGACCAGAGAGGACGTTAGGTGATTGGAAAGGATCTAGTGAAATACTCTCAGGGTCACGTGCCTAAATGCCCTCAGATGTTGGACTGGGCATGGCTGAATGGTGGCAATAGGTGGATTCCACTTAAGAAAGGGAAAGATAACTTGACTCATGGAGTGCTGAGATCTTTGCCCTGCTTTTCCATTTCTTAATTCTCCACCTCTCCACCTTAACCCATGGGTATATTCATGTGCACATGTGCCTGCACGCACAAGCATGTTATTTGAAAGGCCTGATGGCATTTACTAAGACCACAATGAGTAGAAAAACTGGTGTTTTGTAAGTCTTGCAGATTGTTTGCTTCCCTGGGTTTCTTAGGCTCTCACTTCAGGGATCCCTGCTCTAATGCCAGCTTCTAGCTGCCATCCAGAGAGTGCGGTCAGGTAACAGATATGAGGAAAGCGACCCATGTGAGACAATAGGGAGTGGCAGAGACTTTGGTAAACTTGAGAACATTCTTCTAAGGGACAGTGACTGACAGCCAATGACTGACAGCTAGCCAACCCACCATTGTCAGAGCTTCTGCATAGGAAAAGAGAGAAAGAAAAGGAAAGGAGGGAGAAACAGAATGATAAAGGGAAAGAAAAAGAAAACAGTAAGAATTTAAAAGTTTTTGTAACACTTCAGGCCAAACAAAACTTGGCTGAGGACAAGATTGCTTAATAGCTCAACAAAATGTAGTCTTTGCTTTAGATCTTTCTTTTTCCTTTGAAATTAGATTTGTGTGCTGAGTCTAGCTTGAACCGAAAATACAGTAGGGGAGGAAGAGAAATCCCAATAACAGATCCATAGGGGTCACTGGCATCCAAGGCAAAGGCCAAGTAAGGGGAGCCAGGTATGAAACCGGGCTTTCTTTAGTCTGTGAATTTGTTTTCTATTACTACCATAACAAGTTGCCAGAAACATAGTGGCTTAAAATAATATAAAGTTATTATTTTATAGCTTTGTGAGTCAGAAGACTGACCCAGGACTCACTGGACTGGTATCAAGGGCTGTGGTCCTTCCTGGAGGCTGTAGGGGAGAATCTGTTTCCTTATTCAGTCAGGTTGTTGGCAATACAGTCTTTGCTGTGGTATTAATGAAATCTACTTTTCTTTCAGCTTTAGCTGAGGACCATTCATTCTTACCTCTCAGAGGTCATCTGCATTTCCTGGCTCACAACTTCCTTCTTCCTTCATCTTTGAGGTCAGCCAGGGGTGGGGAGGTCAAGTCTTTCTCATGCTTTAAGTTTCTCCTTCTTCTCCTATCACCCTATCACCTGCTCTGCTCTCCTACCTTCCAAATCCCCTTTCAAATCCCACCCAGATAGCCCATAATAATAATAATCTTGATTCCATCCATCAAATTCCTTTTTCCATTAAGGTGACATGTTCACAGGTACCTGGGTTTAGGATGAGGGTATTTTTGGGTGGCCACTACACAGACCTCCCGTACAGTCCTTAGGCCAACCTGACTAATAAAGAATGCATAAATTCAGAATCCAAGCTTCAGATGTGATTACTGCTTCCTAGAGCCTTGGGGACACCCTTTTTTTTTTTCTTTCTCTTGTTATATCTTTCAGTTTTCTTAGCTCTTCCCTGCTTCTGTAAACACCTGTGCTCCTGTGTTCTACTGTGAAGCTCATCTTCTTACAATGCACACTGGATTGAAAATCCTAGCCCCAGCTTCTTCTTCAAGTTCAGAATCTGCGTTTCCAATTACCTTATGGGACACTGCAAATTTAGCTTATCCCAACCAACTTCAGCTCCTTTATCCCCTTTCTTCCATCAACCCCATCTTCTAAGCCAGAAAATTTAACAGCCATCTTCTGCTTATCCCTGCCACCTCACCTCCCACACTTAACTGCAGTAAAAGGAAGTTCTGTGGAGTCCACGCCTTGGAAGCACTCCCTATTCAGCCCCTCCTCTCTATTACCTAACATGGCTAAGTTCACCCCTGCCCTGTGTCTCCAGCTCTGTGAAATCACCTTCTAGGCTTAGTCTCTTCACTCCCCTCTTTACACACACCCATTGCACTACTTCATCCCAAATCTGATCTACTCAGTTATTCAGTGCTCATTTCCACCTTTCTTTGCTTGATTGCAAAAGCCTCAACTCCGTATTGGAGAATACAAGCCCATCAATCATGTACCTTAGTGCAGATTTCCAAGTTTGTCTCTTCTCTTTGTCATTGTCTCTTTCTCTGTCTCTGTCTCTCTTCCTCCCTCTTCCTCTCTTCTCATGCAATCTTTTCTTCAGCAACATGGTTATCTAAAATGCCCTTCCCTTTCAACTGTGACACCTCTTGGTTTTCTCCTCCATTCTCCCATCTTCTCTTCTCCTCTTTGTTTCTGGGACACACTGTCCCCCTCCCCCACCTTGGAACTATTTGTTCTTGTATTTGCCTCATCTACTAGACTATATACTTTTTTTGCCTGTCCAAAAGTGCCTATTATACTGGTTCTCAATCATAGCTGCACATTAGAATAATTTTGGGGAACTTTAGAAAAAAGTTCTGGGGTTTGAACTCAAGACTTCTCACTTGCTAGAAAGGTGCTCTGTCGCTTGAGCCATGCCGCCAGAATTTTTTGCTCTGGTTATTTGGAGATAAGATCTTGCTTTTTGCCCAGGTCAGTCTGGAATGTGATCCTCCTATTTTAGGCTTCCTGCTATTGCTGAGATGGCAGGTGTACACAACTACCCCCAGATTTTTTCAGTTGAGATGGGGCTACACAAACTTTTTTGTGACTTTTAACCACAATCCTTCTGATCTCAGCCTCCCATAAAAACAGTTGCAGTAAATAGTACCTTCAACCAGGAAACCGACATTGAGACACTCCACCAACCATATTCAGATTTGGGAAACTTTAAAAAATACCAATGCACAGATCTGAGCCCAGGCCAGTTGAATCAGGTATGCTGGGACTGAAGCCAAGGTGCTAGAATTTTTTTAAAGTTCCTCACAGGCTAATGAAGTGTTTACACTCAATCTTCAGCACTGTGAAAATTAATTCCAATGGAGCATTTTGATATAGAATTAAGTATACCGATGTACTGGTTTTGAATTTAAAAAGAAAAACTGGGCTACACCATCATTTGCCTAGGGAATAAATGATCACTTGAACGTATAGAATAGGATTTCTCTGAATCATATGCATGTTAATCCTTCAGGCTGAGACTAGCTACATAGGATATCTCTGCACAAAGATTCTATTATTTTTAAAATGTCTAATTTGAGGAAAACAAAGTGGAAGGTGTGACTTAGAGTAAGAATACAGTTCACGTTAACAGAGAGAAAAATAGTCATTAGCGCTCTGCCTCCTTGTAACCTGTCTACTTTTGTAGTACAAAGGCATGTCCTGCTTTTCTTCATACCTCCAATACCTAACACAGTGAACATAATAATTGCTCCATACATTCAGATTGATGCATGAGTTTATAAATTGTGCTTAGAGCTGTGAATGTAGAAGCGAAAATAAAACATGAGGGTTATAACTTCACTGACCTTAGACTGCT